ATACATTATATTACCACCTACTCTATCAATCATTTTGGGGTTCATTTTATCGGACGCTCAATTTTGTTTAAGTTACGAAAAAAATTAATTATTGCAAAATTACAAAAGAATTATAAAAACTGCTATATTATTTAGTAGATAATAACAGTTTTTATAATTCTTTTTAGTCTCCTTATTAGTTTGTATTTATGTATTAAAGTTTTATTTTTACCTTTTGTTTAATTAAGAAATATTGTCTAAAAATAAAATCGCGGTATGGCGGTATCGGCGACTTTCTCCTAAAGATCTAAATGTATAAAATAATATTATCGTTATATTAGAGGAAACCGATGTTTCGACAACTGGTTGTCACATGGGATTGATTGTCAACAAGCTAATAACTCAATCATATATTCTCTTTTTACTGTAAATTAAATTGTATAAAATGGTCTGCGCCAAAATCGTGTGTATTGCTTATAACATTATGCTCATTTTTATCGAACATAGTTATAATAATGAAAAGGATAATTTCGTAATTCTATTTCTGCAGACGCTTACTATAAAACAAGTTTCATTAAATTAACTTGTTTGAATATTTGGTTCCAAATTTCTTAAAAGCAACTTTTATTTCTATATTACAAGTACGAAATTTTTAGTAGAAATTAAAATTTTCTTTCATTAATAAACATTATATTATTATTAATAAACATTACTAGGTGTATAAGCTTAAATTCGCTGTTTGCTCATAGGTGGCATTAGTGAGCGTATAAAGCTACCCTGAGCACACAACATACTTTTTTTTATGTGTTTGACATCTGTCAACATTAATCACATCATCAGCAATTTCATACAACAACATACATTTTTTCTTTCGTAATCATGTCTAGTTTTTTGCTAAAAAAAAAAGCATATGCCGGAAGCTTTGCTTTTCTGTTTCAATTTGAAGAAATCGGCTGCCGAATCGCATCGAATGCTTGTGGAGGGCCTATGGCGACAATGCTTTATCGGAAACAATGTGCAGAGGTTTCGCCGATTCAATGACGGAATTTTGACTTGAGTGATAAGAAGCGTGAAAATCGGCCCAGGAAGGTTGAGGACTGTCAATTGCAGGCTCTTTTGGACGAGGACGATACCCAATCGCAAAAAACGTTTGCCGAGCAATTGGGTATTTCTCAAGCAGCTATTTCCATGCGGCTACATGCCATGGAGAAGGTTCAAAAGATCAGAAAATGGGTGCTGCATGAACTGAACGATAAGCAGATGGAGCGATGCCAAAACACATGCCAAATTCTGCTTGCCAGACAAAAAAGAAAGTTCCTGCATCAGATTGTGACAGGCGATGAAAAGTGGATCTATTTTCAGAATCCTAAACGCAAGAAATCTTGGGTTGATCCCGCCCAACCATCAACATCTTCTTCAAGACCAAATCACTTCGAACGGAAGACGATGCTGTGCGTTTGGTGGGATCAGGAGGGCATCATCTACTACGAGCTGTTAAAACCTGGTGAAACTGTTAATGCTCACCGCTACCACCAACAACTCAAATTGCACTATACTCTGCGTGAAAAAAGGCCGCATTATTGGAAAAGACATGACAAGCTGATTTTCCTCCACGACATCGCACACGTCAACAATGATCCAAAATTACTTGGAGACACTCAACTGGGAAGTGCTACCCCATCCCGCTTACTCACCAGACCTGGCACTTTCTGACTATCACCTTTTTTCGTCGATGGGCTACGCGCTCGCTGAGCGGCACTTCGATTCTTACGAAGACGTCTGAAAATGGCTTGATGAGTATTTGCCTCGAAAGATGGAAATTTTTTGGCGTGGTATACACAAATTGCCCGAAAGATGGGAAAAATGTATAGTTAGTGAGGGCAAGTACTTTGAATAAATTTGTTTTTGCTTCCTAGGAAAAAAAATGTATTTTTCTAAAAAACAGCAGATTTAAGCTTATACACCTGGTAAGACAGCTATTGTTGCCTATCGGATTTCGTAATTGTTACTCACCGGAAAGATTGTTGTGAAAGAAGGATACATGCACACTTGTAGCAGTTTGAAGAACATGATGTTGAAGATTACTGCTCCAGTTCATGGAGACCTTCATGTAAAGAAAGCTGCGAAACAACATGGATGCAGACGATAATGCAGAATGTGTATACGTATATGGCATCCATAGTGCTCAACAAACAATCCGGGTTTAATGTGAAGATCAACCCAAAAAAGCATTGTTATAGCTAAGCACATTCGCGAATTGTTTGAAGTCACTAGTGAAGTCACTTTTCGATACGCCTGACATCCTCTAAGATTGTCCAGTATGAGAGTCAGTAATTATTTCCGATGATGGCGACCTGACTGATAATGAAGATCCAGCAGTATGAATACTGAAATTATTGCTGCCGTTATGCAGATATTCCTTGTACACTTTGCTGGCTACTCGACCGTGTGCCGTCATCTCGGTTTCCGGAATGTCCTCCACATAATCCGAATCAGTGTCCAAGTGCTGCATAATGAAATAAAATAATAATCTAATTACTTGAATTTATTTCTCATAGATATAATCTGATGAAATTAATTCAGTTTAAATCATTTAAAAACGTTAAGAAAATAATGTTTCAAAAATTCGTAGATATTTGAAATTTACTTAACTTTTTTAAATCTTGATTCTCTTCCACGCTTTATTAATTGATAATAATTAGTGAAAGTATATTAGAAATATTTAATGCACGAAAATACAGATATTTTTTTTAATTATTTTATATTTTTATTATTATTTATATTTATTCTATAAAAAAAAATTTTATTTTACATTTTTATTTTTTGCGCTATCTATTTTTAACAAAAATAATATAAAATATATATTTTCTTTTTAGTTTCTATATTTTTTTATTAAAAATAATGTAATCTTACAGTGATGGAACTTGTAGTCGATAATCTTGATATCCGATAGTCTTGTTATTGATGTAATAATGCAAGGTGTAATAATGTAGGATCGAGGCCGTAACTCGCGACACAAATTTTCGAAAATGTCGGCTAATAACAAGATATCAGTTTTCAAGTACAGATCACTATATTCGTCGAGCGTTTGGATGGAGAATCACTATCATACGTTCGGGGCGTGAGCGTAATCGCTCTCGGATATGGTATCGCCCATCAACGAACTATAGATTCACGCGATGATAAGCGCGTATCCTGCAATTTTTCGACGCAGTCAACGTACTCGTACGGAAAGATACCTTTACGAGTTAGTAATTCAAATTCTTCGTCCAATAGTGTTGAAAATTTGGAACATACAATTTTTAATTTATCTTTATCAAGATACGCGCCAATTTTTCTGAACTGATATCGAGAAATTTAAATGAATCTATAAAACATATTTTTAATATATATATATATCATTAGAGCAATAGTATTATTTCAGTTAATTAAAATAATATTTTACAGTATTATTATTTATAGTATTATTAAAAACAAGTTATTATCATAAGTGTCATCATTTGGTGTTATCATAGGTTGTCATACATTAGTACTTTATTTAACATTAATTATACAATATTTGCTATCAGTTTGCAACTAATGTAGAACTAATTTTAATCAACTCTAACACCCAATATCTCGCTTCAGAGCAGTCTCGGACTTTTTTCTGTCAGATTCTTTTATTTTACGCAAAAACGCGTCGAATGAGCCTAATTTCATCATAATCGGAGATGAGATAGTTCTGAAGAATTATCTTGCATTTAATTCAATTGATTCTATTAAAAAGTACTTATTAAATTTGTTACTCTATATCGTTTACCACGCTCCACGTTGATTGGTGAATGTTGATTGGTGAAAAATTGGGCAATGGAGATAAATTTTACCTCCGGCTTTTTATCAATCAGCGCTCTGTCAAAGCGTTGTTACCCGTATGAGGATCCAGGCTAAAAGTAAATTTTCACAAGCTGCTCTCAAACCAGCTATTTTAACGACAAAAAGTATCACGTTGTCAGAATTAACAAATATCAAGCATCCATTTTGATCACGTGATCCTTTATTTCGCTGAAAGTCGATTAGAGCAGCTTGTGAAAATTTACTTTAATAAAAGAGAAAAGAAGCAAGCGGTTTCTATAATTATCTAAGTTAATTTCTGTATCGCATACGTGTACCGCTCTACATGTAATCGCACTCTGAGGTCGATGTTCTCATAAGCGGAAATTTACAGCAAAATAGAATAGCACAATTAATCACAACTCTGCAGTCATTACTCTTTCTTTTCTGCAATTGTGATTGGTCTCGCTGATGAGACGGCGGCCTGAGTAGGAGCCAAGATAGGAACCAGAGAGAATCAAGGGACAGAGTAATATTCTCTTCTCTAATTGGTTCCACCATTTTTCCGCTCACTTCCGTAAATGTGCATGCATACACTACAGCGCATTAATTCGTTGGATCATAGTAACGACCCGACTTATCAATGTTTATTTTTTATTCAGATACTATCAACTTTACAAAAAAACCTACAAAAGATAAAAATCATTTATTTTCTTCTCATCGAAGATATGTTGTCTTTTGTAGGTTTTTCTCATCTAAGAATTTTTTCAGAATTTTTTATCAACTTTTTAGTACTGCATTTTCTTATTTTCGCTAAGTCGGGCCGTTTCTATGACCTAGTGAATTAATGCACTACTGTATAAATACGTACACACAACACTAGTGCGATGCAATACTAGTGTGTGCAGCACCATGTTCTATTGTTTCTACCATAATTCTTACTCACTCCAACAAATAGCGACTTCTGGCTAAATCCACTCCATTCTCTCTTGATTTTCTCTGGTAGGAACATGTTGACGCATGTTGGAATATGCGACGCGAAGAAACCTCATGTAATCTTTCTACTATGATCGAGAGTCAGCATGAAAAGGCACCTTTATGCGCATACACCGGCAATGCGAAATGAAAGATCGAGCGTTGTGAGCGCCAAATAGAATCGAGAGCGCAGCTCAAATTAGCCCAAATGTTGAAGGTTATGTCATTCATGTAACATGGCGTCGAGCGAGAGTGGTGATTTTCAAAAAGTGTTGGAGTATCGGATTTACAAGTGTTCCAGTTATTCTTCCTGTTATGTACCCGAGTACGTGAGTGCCTCTAACTCTTGCAAATTGTTTCGTCAAGAAACAGTCGATGAACCTCCTTGTTAAAGTAACCGCGTTTTCTAACCTAAAAATAACATTCCGGAAACCATTGCGTCTGTCAGAATTGTGATAACAAAACTTCATTCATCGTCATTCACGCACAATGTCTTTTTCAGAAATATCATCGTTGATATACCGTCGGATCAGTCATCACGTTGGTCCTCCGACATCGACAATCATCCGCAGGTACGTATCGCACATGTCGACTCACATCACATGCCGCTTACCTCGCCGACTGTTCTTTTCAGTATCTCATTCTTAAACTTCAAAGCCCTTCCATCGTCAAGTGCATTACTTTCGGCAAATATGAGAAGACCCATGTATGTAATATAAAGAAATTTAAGATATTCGGTGGTTTGGAACCTGAAAATATGATGGAACTTCTCGAAAGGTTTGCTAACAATTACTCTCTCTTTCTTCTCTTTCTTTTTGACATTTTAGGAACCTATTTTGTAACTTTTAACGACTTTTAACGATATCGTTAGTGTCATTGCGTAGATTTCATATACAGTAAAAAACAGTTGCTGTGCAATGACAATTTAACGATATTGTTAGAGTTACAGAATAGGCCCTTTAATTAATTTTTTATTCTTTATTTCTTTACTCCATACATTGTTACTGTTATATTATTTATTACTGTTATATTATTTTTGCATAATTTTGTACATTTTCTACTACTATTATTTTATATGACTACTTTGACTCTATAATTTTGTATATTTCTATTTTATATATTTTCCTCTTGTTTTTCAAATATTATTTATATTATAATACTTTTGCCAAACTTTACTTATTTTTGTACATATATTTATTCCATTGTACTTTCTTTTTTTTTATTTACTTTTATATTCTCAGAAAACTTGTCTTAGAATAGAAATAAACGCTTTTATCTATCTCTTTCAATTGTTATGCTTATTGTCTAACCAAAGTGTTTCATTTGTTTCAGTGGGCTGAGGAATGATTCTATACCAGAGACATTTGATCTCAAACATGTTTTAGGGAATGAAGCGAATTATTTTCCCATACGATATGTAAAGATTCTTCCGCTGCAATCATGGGGTCCCAGTTTTAATTTTTCTATATGGCACATCAGATTAACTGGTATTAATGACCCCAAGGTCATTAAGCCCTGTCTCGAGTGGTTCAATACGGTAAATGCATAATCGAACAGATAATAAAAAAGCAAAGATTTTTATAAATAAATTATAAACAATTATTCTGGATTCTGGACTGATCAATTTCATAAAAAACAAAAATTGGAAAATTACAGTTTTGTTATCCTGAAAAATCTTTTGTTCTGGCGTTGATTCATAATTACATTCATACAAAAGAGACTTTAGACTTTTAATTGAAACTAATAGTCTTTTTTGTATTACAGTATCGACAGAAGGAGATAATAAGACTGTGCATGAAACACTTCCGGCAAATGGAACAGCCCGAGATTGTGGAAACTTTGCAGAGAGTTACCGGAGTCCCCCTGGAAGATCCACGACTGTCAACACTATATGAACTTTTGGTTACCAAGGGCGATCATCTACAGGCGGAGCGTTTTATCAGCAACGCGCTCACGAGTAAGTCCTACATGGTCTGATCATGTCATTTCTCCCTCTTGATTTGTGTCCATTTTATAGCCGTGACGCTTATACATTGTTAAATCCGCTTTTTAGTGGGACTCTTAAACGATTATATCAATGCTCAAACTTATAGAGCAATTTGGACAAAGTTATCGTCCAGCGAGCCCAAGCCCGGGATGCGGGGCGGTCATCAGATGGTGCTTGATCCAACGGCTGAAGTACTTTATCTCTTCGGTGGATGGGACGGTAATCAGGACCTCTCTGACCTGTGGTCGTACGACATAGAGGCCGGCAAGTGGACTCTCATATGCAAGGACACCGAAGCGGTGGTCGGTAGTGTTAAATAAATTTCATTCGACATTACGACACATAGTCTAACATATCAGTACCTCGATTCTGTAACTTTTGATGATAACATCAGTTTAGCATCGTTATGTTGTCATTGCGCAGTTTTTTTAATCATAGTATCTGCGTAATAACAATATAATAATACCAACACCGTTCTTTTTTTTTTTTTTTTTTTTTAAAGGAAGGAGTAAGATAAATTGAAAAACTAAAGATTCCTACATTATTCCTTGATATGTCTTATTTATGTAAAGAAATTTTTTCTGTCTAATTTAATTACAGTGTAGAATGATTAGTTTTTAAATTTATTTTACTTCCTTTCTGAAAAAAATTACCAAAATACTATATTAATTTTATAACACCAAGAAAATATGTAATAAATATGTCCCTTAGAAGAATTACAGAATCATAGTACAGAATAATATATAATTAATATCTTGTCTTCTATATTGCACGCATATCACGTTCCGCCAGCATGTAAACAATGTGCTTGATAAATTCAATAAGGTGTTTCTTTGAGAATATCAAATAATATTTTGAAAAAACAATCATTAATGAGTTCTTTATGAATAAAGCAGAATTTTTAAATATAAAGTATAAAAAAAATGTAACTAAAAAGATTTGTGAAAATGAATTTCACAATTACGTCTTTTGAAGATTTCTTCGTATTACAATTTTAGTAAATATGTTTTGTCTACAAAATTATCAGGCACCAGATGTATGCACATTTTATTTCAGACCTGTTCTTTTTCTATACTCTAGAACTAAACTTTTAGCATGATTTATCTTTAAGACAAAAGAAAGTACAAAAAGTTTAATTCTCAAACAAAAAAACAGGTCTTTTATTTTCGTCATATTTACAACAATCTATGATTCCTAGGGAGGACCTAGCGCGCGTTCATGCCATAAGATGTGCTTAGATCCGCAGAGACGGCAGCTCTTCACATTGGGCAGGTACTTGGATACGCAGTATCGTACTTGCGAAAATTTAAAAAGTGACTTTTACGTTTATGATATTGAGTCGAATAAATGGACGCAAATCTCAGAGGACACCGGGACGATAGGCGGGCCACCGCTTGTATTTGACCATCAAATGTCGATGGACGTAGAGAAGCGAACTATCTATGTTTTTGGCGGACGAGTACTGACTCATCAGAATAGGTAAGTAAGTTGCAGAGAATTAGAAGAAATGGATTTAGAGGATTATACAGATTAGATTTTGTCCATCCGATGTAAGATTGACTTTAATCTTGATGTAACTTGTTTATCTTTTTCTAATTCTTAGAATTATGCCTGTTTCTGTCAATGTAGTTAATTTTAACCTTCAACTAATTCTTTTTTTTTTTTTTAGTTCTAAGAATTAAAAAAAGTTGAAGATAAGTTGAATCGAGATTAAAGTTGATCTACATTCGTAGAAATGGATATTAGAAAAAGATAATAGTAATTTGAATCGAGATTAAAGTTAATCTTACATTGGTGGAATCGGGCCTTACTATATCTTTGACATCATTCTTCTGATTCACATAGTGCCGACGAACACAGTGTAATACCGGAACCGCATTTCTCGGGACTGTATTCTTACCATGTGCCAACCGGCACGTGGGTCAGACTCGCCTGTGATATTGCTGATAAACAATGCTCGAGAGACATGCCTATTTACAGATCCCGCGCTGGTCATTCCATGCTGTTTCACCCGGTTGGTATCCCATATCTTCCCTCCTTCGATTTTGTTTCTTTAGTGTACGAAAGAAATAATAACAAGCAAATTCACAAATCATGGCGAGATTTTTGTAAAGTGGGATCTTGTTCCAGCGGTCGAGAAAACTATACATATTCGCCGGTCAGAGAGGAAAGGAATATCTCAGCGATTTCTTCACGTATGAGGTTGATACGCAACATGTCGAGTATATAAGTTATAACGAGTTCGGTACGACGAAGGATTCTAATCATGTTCCCGCGGCTGGATTTACGCAGAGAGCGACCATCGATCCCGAACTCGGCGAGATTTATGTTCTGTCGGTTTGTATCTCGTAGAGATTATTAATTTAAGATGCAATTTAATTAATATGTGAAATTTGCTATTGTATAAAACTAAAGAAAAAATTTTCTCAGGATTATATAAATTCTTACAACCTGAATTTCGTAAATAATTAATTTGATGTTCTTTATATATTATATAAATGATATTTTAAATTATAAAAGTTATATAAAAGTTATGTTTATATAAAAGATATAAGTGATTCATTTTAATTTTAACAGGTAAATATACAAATATTTTACCAAGAAAGATTGTAAATAAGAGTTGTATGATATAGAGGGAAACATCCCTCTTTATATCATATAATTTTTATTTGGAATATTCTTGTGGTAAAATTTTCGAAATACTTATCTGTAAAGATTAAAATAAACTCTGTATATTATATTTGTATATAATATACATTGTATATATTATATAAATCATTAAAATATATAAATAATATAATTTGTGTGTATGTGTGTGTGTATGTGTGTGTGTGTGGGTGTGGGTGGGTGTGTGTGTGCGCGTGTGTGTGTGTGCGCGCGCGCGTGTGTGCGTGTGTGTGTGTGTATTTTTCAGGGTTTGAGCAAAGACAAAGATAAGAGGGACGACAATGTGCAAAATTCTTTTTGGGTATACAATATTCAGAACAGTAAATGGTCTTGTATATATCGTAATGAAAACGTTGGTGAAAAATACTGGAGCAAGATGCAGGATTACGAACCGTGTCCGCGATTTGCACATCAGCTCGTTTATGATCACACTAGAAAGGTACGTTGTAAATTGTACTTAATAATTGTGTTCTTTTATTGCTGCTTTAAATAAATAATTCGTTTGCCGATCGATTCAACAATTTCTGTTCGGCGTTAGGTTCACTTTCTATTCGGCGGCAATCCCGGCAGATCCTGCCTTCCAAATTTGCGACTCGATGACTTTTGGCAATTGGAACTACGTCGACCCACGGGCGAACAAATTTTGAAAAGGTGCAAACTAATCATCAGGAAGCATAAGTTTAAAGAGCTTGCTCTGAGCAATAGTATAGAAGCCCTCGAGTACCTGCAAACAAAGATCTTCGAAATTATCGACCACAGTGACACACAACAAACAAAAGAGGTATATTCATATATGTTTCTACGAATACAATTAACGCGATGTTACAAATGCTTTACAGCAATTTTTGATTGGTCAATTTATAAAATTCTTTTTTCTAATTGTCAATCAAACGCTTTAAAGAAGTTTTGTAGTGAGACTTTGATCGCAGCCTTTATTTATTTATTTTTATGTTTATCATCGTGATTATATTAATCGCTAAGCATAGTATCGTCTCACTAATCACAGTCTTTCCTTCGTAGTTTCAACTCTTGACATCGATCTTATTCCGGAAACAGAATAATTCACTGGAGGATGCCTCCCATTCGAGCACGATTCTGAATGAGCTGACGACTGGCGTGACAACGCAACAGTGCACGAACGCGCGTGATGTACATAACTTGCGAACTGAGCTATACAACAAACTCGCGGAATTTTTCCCGGAATCATTAACGCAGCCGCGGGCGAATCTGATCGATCTCCTGCCGTTATAATGACGCAACGAGCAGGTCATGAGACCTTGACGATGGAATGTTCTTTGTTCACATCACATAATTTCTTCTTTTGTTCAATAATCCTCGTTACAGCTGGTAATCCTCATTTTTGTAGATTTACGACGAGCCTCGCCATGTTTGTGATACGATTTATTTTTCTACTTTCGACTTGTTGTGTTAATCATGGGAGAAAAAAGAATTGGTTGCAGTAGATTTCGGATTCAACATTTATAAAACTGCCTCTCACAATTTTATTTATTTCATCTTATAATACGCTTGTTAAAGAGTTTTTTCTCTGTTTTTCTTAATGAACCGGAAAAGCGATTCAGGACAAAGCACTCCATGTGTCATTTATACTTATCTACACTTGTTTGAAATCGAGAACTTTGTGATATCGATAGCTTTCTAATGGACTGGTTAGCTGATATGTATAAGTAAACTAGAGATCAATTTTATATATAATCTCTTCTATATTCTATGTAGCTATGTGTTTATAATGTGGCCATAAAATTGTTGTTGTTATTATGTTTGCTGAAATAATATATTTCTCGTCGAGTGTGAATTGAAGGGAGATTTAAGGCTAGAGATAGCACATTAAGGAAGCTGTTAATTAAAGCGTCATGATTTAATTTCAAACACTTGACACAATATGTTACTTTTTACCAAAAGTATGTAAGCCAACAAATTATTGTATAGCTTCGTTAAACGCAACAAATTGTAACTCTTAATCTGAAGTCTAGCGGTTTTCTGGCTTACAGAGAGATGTGACGAAGAAACAGAAAATGTTATGGTCAGTTACATATAAAATTTCCTTCTTTAGTTAATTGTAATCTCAAATTATAATTAGTTTAATCGTTACTTAATTTAATTGATTATGATTTTGAATTATAATTAATTAAATAAGGAAATTTTTATACGAATATTATAATTAATTGAATATAGAAATTTTATTGTACTGATCATAATATTCCTTCCAATTAAGTAATTGCTTCCTTATGTATCTCCTGCATTGTTAAAAGCAACAAGGGATATTTCATGTAATCGAGTTGAATGAAATATCCCATAAATATATCGATCCATTTTCTCTTGTAAAATGATTTATTCTTAGATATAGCAGCTTCGTTATCCCGTTTTTCATAATCTAAGAATAAGTTCATTCACCGAAAATGCCTTCTAAGAAATGTGAAATCTTAAAGTGTTATTATTGCATGCAAACGTCGACACGAGTTAACAATCGACTTCACACTTTTGACTTCCCCAAAGGCTTTCAGCTTCTCTCCACAAACGATCAACTATGATAAGATATCCAAGTAAATTTCAGGAACTACTTTTCGTTAGCATGTAAATACCTGATGAAAATGATGACGAATCACGATCTATTTCCGTGTCAATTGTCAGTACACTTACTATTACACTTAATTGTTCATCAGCTAAAATGCATGTTGTACATTGTATATACATAATCAGCCTCTCGCGAGCTTAAAACATTACTGAGGCGTAGATGCGAGAACGATGCAATTATATATATATTGTAAGATGTAGAAGCAAAAATTATATAGCAGGTAAGAGTATCCGGCCGCGCTTTATCTTTGTACATACACGATTATATGATGATAAGGAACGTCGAGACGATTTTTATAATGTGATTCCAGTTACGCTAAGTTAGATAATGGAATTGTAAAAAAAAATGAACGGAGAGTATATATATATATACAGAAAAAAAATATATGAGTAGAGAGATGAAACGAAAGTGTACGCAGGCATAAAAATGAGACAACGCCGCCATTCCTCTAAATACGTACATAATACGATATATTAAACATCTCAAAGTTGGAAGGACCAGGTCGGTTGCTTGTACGCACTATATAGTACAGATAACATACGCAAAATTCTTTGGAACGCGAGCGAAAAACGTGGATATACATACATCCGAAGTTCTAGTCAGATAATAAATGTTTACAAAGTATAAGACAAAGAGAAAAGGACTGCAAGTTTGGAATTTATTTACTCACGTAAACTTCGGTTAAAGAATGAGAAATTTATTCGTTTTTTTTTCATTCCTATCATCGGGACGCATTCTCCTTTCAGAATTACATCATATGGATAACTCTGTATATCTCTTTATAATATAATGTACAAACTGAATATATTGCACGAAAAAAAACAACGGACAAATGCACATTAAATATCATTAACAACATATTTCGAATCATAGTGGGGTTTTTTCCACTACGTTTCGGACTATAAAAAAACTGAGAGAAAGAATGCATTTGGTGAGACATTAGCGCTATTTATGTCATTCTATTTGTGTCACTCCTTATTTTATGTCTAATGACCCAGATAGCAACGTGTCTATCTTGTTGGCAAATTGCTCGCAAATAAATGTATTGCTCAGAATTGCAGCAACGGAGTCTACATTTGTTGACAGTTAATGTTTTCACGATGACTTTAGCAACTTGCCAATAACTTTAAAGTCTTCATCATCAAATTGTTATCATATAGGCTCACAATACTAGGCTCATCAATACTATCATATTGCTGACAATGCAAGATATCTTTGATGCTGCTTGCAAGATGCGGCTTACCTTGCCGTTTGCTAGCATATTCATTATTGCCTGTGTTGGTATATTCGAAATGGAAATAAATACACAAGTTTTTAACATCATAAGTAATCATAGATTTGCATGATTTTACTAAGACACACTTTGTTATCTCGGGAACAATAAAATTAAAATGGCACAAATAGCGATAGAGTGTTTCCTCAAACGCACCTCAATAATTGATCAATAATATTACAAAAAGTGTATAAATAAAGTAATAGTAAAGTTTCAGTCTCTATCATTAATCTTAGATATATATATGAGCAATATATAAAGTAATATGCTCTTATTGCAAGGAAGCTTTATACATTGGATTTGCAGTTCCGTGTAAACTCTTCGTTCCATCTTTGTTTATGACAAAATATACATGCACGCGTTGCATGCTCTATGAGCTTTGTTTGGTACTAAAATCACGTTAGCTTTGGTAAGACTTAATACGTACTATCTCCGATAACAGATTCCTGCATAATGTCACATTCAAGAGTCTAAATTTTCGAAAGCACCATCAATAAGTCTTAATAAAATCACTTCTGGAAGATACACAGATTAATAATGTTAGAAATATAATAACTGGAGAAAGAAATCGGAGCTGTTGCTCGTATAAAAGAATTGTCAAAAATGCTTGTAACGTTCATAAAAAAAAAATTACGCAATTAGATTCGTTAAAATTATCTTAGAGTCTGGTAGACCATCCAGAATGTAATGAGGGGAATTCGCCATGGATGCGAGATCGGCCTCGAACAACGTCAACTGAAGCTCCTTTCGTGCTTTCTGTACAATATAAACCATCAGCGAGACTCCTATTAATATCTACAACACACAGCGAAAAAAAATTATTACTTTAATTCCTTCTGCGAAAGTTTAAGGACATACGACGCACCTGGAAACAAAATACTACGTAGCCAGTCGCCGCCGTGGATCTATCCTCCAATACATCCTGCATCGACCTCAGACTGCTGCCTAGATAAACGTTGACCAGCTGGGCAGGCAATAAACCTATCGCACTGGCTACGTGGTAATGAAAACCACCTATGTTACTGACCTAATCATACACATAAATATACATAACATTGTCCTGAATTACATGTGAGAGATACTTAATGTGACTAGATTGCCCCCCCCCCCCCTCCCTCTCTCTCTCTCTCTCTCTCTCTCTCTCTCTCTCTCTCTCTCTGTCTCAAGATACTTGTTGTCTCATTCAACATCTAAATGTAGAAGAGACACAGTCGACACAAACGACAGGTCATTTTATCCGAAATCGTTCTATGACATTAATGAATAATAAGATAGAACATCATTTATATCAATTTCCTAAATCTTTTTCCTAAAAGGAAAACAGCAAAGTCTATAATACAGTTACTAGATTTGTTTAATTGAATTGTCTCTTTAATTGAACTTCTTGGGTCATCTTTCCTCTTTTTTTTTCATATTGGAAAGAAAAGAGATACAGAAGTTATCTTGTAAGAATTGAGTCTCCTAAAAAAACGAAAAGTAGCCAAAATTTCCCGTTTTAGATTCAAAAATATCTAATCACATTAAGCATACACTCTGTGTACGACGAACGTTCCACAGTACATACTGCAAAAATAGTATTCTGAAGACCGAACGGAATCGGGGTGAGCCGCGCGAACAGGACGATCTTGAAAGCCTGGGACCCGGATATCACGCGAAGTATCGCTCTCGCAGTGTTGCTCTGCAGGAGGGCACCAATCGGTAGCCTGGTGGACAGTAGACCCAGGGTGACATGAGCAATCACTATGCCAAGATTAGCGGAGAGTATGACAATCGCCATGCCGCGTATCACACCGAACAGGTAGCCACTGGCGACAATGAGGAACAGATAGCCAATCACAATCGGGAATGACACCACCGTGAACAGACCTATGAAGATCACAGCGATGATCCAGGCATTCTGATGCTCGATCCAGTAGAGCAGCAGTTTTATGTAGTCCCTGCAGATGAAGACAATGATGCCAAGGAAGGCCAGAGTCGTGATTGTAATCACGACGTAGCATATTGAGTTCGAGCTGATACAACCAAAGGGTATCCATGAACTCTTGGAAGAACGCATTCCAGTCTCAACATCATCTATATCAACGATCTGGTCCATGTTTCTCTCTACAATATTCTCTACTATATCAGTGAGCAGCTAGTCCTTGATAGTAACGTGCTTAAAAAATCAAATAATTAATTAAAACAGAATAGAATCTATTTACTTCAGCTTATATTTGTATATTGCTAAAAAATAATTATAATTAATATTAAAAAATAAGATCACACAAGAAATTCATCTCTTCCATTCTGCTTAAAATAATAGAACTTATTTACTTCAACTTAAATTGCCAAGAAAGAACAATGAAAATGATAATTAATGTAAAAAAGTAATGATCACACACACACACACACACACACACACACACACACACACACACACACACACACACACACAAAAGAGGTTCATCTCTTCTATTGTTTAAATAGTAGAATAGAATTTATTTACTTCAGCTTAAATTGCCAAAAAAAAAATTAAAATAATAAAGTTAATGTAAAAAATTAATGATCACACATAGATTACTCAGATATTTTAAATAATTTTCATAAAGTCGAAGATTAATTATTTTACCTTGCAACATCGATGGAGGGAAGTGAATCTGACTTACACTTCAACCCATAATGCGAAATGCATATAAATTTGTTTAGGAAGAACGTGACACATGAAATTCCGATTGTTAAACATGTTATTTGGCAACATGTCAATAAACCTATTAAAAGACGCAAAACAGTAGAAACGTAAACGTAACTATTTAACTATTTAATCGACTGCTCTTAAAGTTGTCATTTCGCTATAAATAGAAAATATATAATCTCTATTTTTTAATTAATTAACTAGATTGCTGTAAATAATTATTCAGAAGAGACAAACAGTCGTCAACCACAAGAATGGACAAGAAAGGAATACATCTGCATGGACGAGATTCGAAAATGGACCTATAGATAGCGCTAGCGTCACGATAAAGCTAAAATCACTAAACTTTGTTCGCGTTGCTTATATTCAGTATTTTCGCTTTCTTTCTTTCCAACGTTCAAATATATATTTATCTTATTCTTGAGGATTTAAAAAACAATGTGAATAAATCCGATTATTTATATTCGGAATTAAAATGGCGTAAGATAATGCAATTATCCTACAACTCGAGATGAAAAAAATGTCGTTCCGTTTTAATTTTTCGTTTAAAAGATGAAAAAAAAAAATAAGTTAATATAAAGTTTGAAAAATAAAAATTTTAATCAATATGCATAATTACAGATTCTTGAAAATACAACAAGATGGATACAGGAAACAAAAAATATAATGAAAGTATTATTTCGTTTATCAATTTTTTTTCTAATTCAAGTTTACAATTTCTGAGATATAATTTAGGATCTTTTTAGATACTGCGATAATAAAGAAAATCAGAATGTAATTATCTTGATGTCTTAACATGTAAATATTAAAGAAATATAATAAAATTTGTATAATATTGAAAAGGTGACAATCTTAGACATTGAAAACATTTTATTCAGTCAGTAAGAAGCATTCTACATGATAATAATAATCATAGTATAATCCGTGATAATAATAATAATTAATAATCATAATAATTCATTCGTAATAACCACAATTTGTAAATGTACAAGGTAAACTTTCTCTCTCACGCTCTTTCTTTCTCTATCGCACCCTTTATTTCTCTCTTTCGCTCTCCGTTCTCACAATCTCTCTCGTTCACACGTTGAGAATTGTCATTTTATATAGTTGTACATAAAATTACAGAAAAATTCACCAATATATAAATCAAACGTCATTACTCTTCAAAGACTATGAATGTAGTCAATAAATCATCCCTATCATCATTCTCTGCTGCAAAGATACTTCTTGATACTTTTCTTTCTTTCTTTTTCTTTTTTTTTTCAGTTCGGCATTCGGCAGCGTTGTTGGATTTGAAGGACTACTCTTTTAAAGGTCCGCAGCGGCAACGCCCTCGCAATATTTCCCTAATATAGTATATTTGTACATTTGTAAGTCCTTTCCTCATAACCCTGGGAAACACGGGCGGAGATCCAATAAATCTCCTGAAACGATCATCTAATCCTGATTTCACGTTCAATTATTTGATATGCTAATGATGGAATATAGATAAATAAATTTAAACGTCAACTGTATTCCTCTATTATAGACAGTTCAGATTAACAAAACGGAATACGGAATCTGTGAATTCTAGATTCTATAATTCTTCTTCTGATAAATATTCATAAGATCAATTCCTTCAAAAGTCAATGATCTTGAAATATGTCCAAGTAACATTCAAGAGATTTTAATTCGTTGTTTATAAAAAAGTTAACACAATTTGTCGGACACATCATTTTCTGACATGTGTACTTTATAGCCACATTTATGTTTTAAACTAAATCTTCGTCTACAATATACTAAAAATAATAAAAATTTAAAAGATTAGACAGACCCTTACACAAGGTAGATATTACATATCAAAAATAAAACCATAACGTATATTACTATCAATAATAAAAATTCATCCATATTTTTTTTATCACCATTCAATTTAATACTTAATTCCTGTGTTTTTGTTTTAATTAGAAGTTATTAGTATAAGTAGAGGAGCAGTTTCACCACCCCCCTTCCCAATCCTCCATTAACGCTATATAGAAATTCATATATTCATCTTACATTGTAGCTTGTTTTCTGTTTTCATTTTAGTATCAGAAAATTATATTCTATTTTTGAAGCGTTTTTAACTTTTTAATAAACAAGCGACGACTATCTTTGAATTAGTTAAGTGTCATGATCTCGATAACATATTTACCCTTTTTCTTACCCTTTTATAATAGATTTCTGACCATCGCAGAATCCCAAGACGTTTATCATTCTCTATAAAATCACACCTGCGTCTGCCAGGGTTAATAGATAGGTGAGAATATTTAAGGCGAATAAATCCACTATACATATATCCTTCAACAAAGTTTCGGTGGAAATATATCCCGTAAAAAAACGTCGGCGACCCTGTAAAGAATCGAGGCTCGTAACAACAACGGGGGCGCAGAGCGTGACCACCGCGGATTCTCTTTTTTTTCCCGTTATTACTGTAAATCCATATTACTATTGATTTGAGGTAGTGTATTCAATGTAATCCTATTACCTTGCTGCTATATGTTGCGTGTGTGGATATGTTGTGTATGTCGTATGAATACTCCTTCGCACACCTACCGCACTTCCAACTGCGAGCCCGGAGTTGTTCTTTGTCGTTTAGTATATACGTATATACGTATAAAAAAGTCCGATGTGTGTGTCTCGTGGAGCATACAAGTGCAAAATGTTTGCAGGCCTATTGCAAAATATCATTATCGGCAGTAATCTGACAGGCGATTATGAAAGTGTATCGATATATATTATTTTTCCAAGCTCGTAGTTCGCATCGGCCGTAAGTGTGCTTCACAAAATTATCGTCTATGCAATGGAGTATGAGGAAGCCGAATGTCGGACAAATTCCATCGAGACTATATCTCGATTTTTCTTCCTTTCCTCTCTCTCTCTCTCTCTCTCTCTCTCTCTCTCTCTCTCTCTCTCTCTCTCTCTCTCTCTCTCCCCCCACAC